GAAAAATGATTTCCATATCAAAGGCAGAGTAGCTACTCTCGTTTTGAAACAGAGGCCCGCGGGAAGTCGATTGAGAAAACACTCCTCGCTTAATTAGCCTGTTCCAGGCTCTCAGATAGTGGGGAAGACGCGAAAGTAAAAGGCACGCGACAGGTTGGCGGGGTGGGAAAAAGGAAAAAGCCCCCCCTTCTCTCCCCAGTTTCCTCCTCGTGTTCAAGCTTTCTCAATTCAGCGTGCTCGACTATCTCGGAGCCTGGAACAGGCTACTCCTCGCTATAATACCATGTTTATTTGCGTCCTGTTTGATTTTCTGGTCCATTACCATTGTTATAGTTATCTCTGAATTTTTAAGCCCAAAATACCGAATGATTTAGGAGATATTCGAAAATTTAAAGAACATACTGTATATATGGGCCCATTATTAAACGTTGTTGAATCACAGCAGTTTCTTACTTTTTTATGGAGTTATTTTCCTTGCTTTCATGCTAACAAAGGGCTGAAATTTGCACCGAAATTGACGAGCTCGTTCAGCTTTTAAACTTAATTTGTACCAGAGCGACGCCTTTTATGGCTAATACTTGACCACGTGACCGAATGAGCAAAATGTATACAATGACGTCAGCAAACATTCGCAAAAAGATGAAAGGCTAACCCCGGCCTTGCAACCAACAGCAACGCTGCTCAATTTTTCAAAAGACGTCACATAAACAGTTCGTCATTTTTTTTTTTTGCCATGTGTTAATCCCCTCAGCAGATTCGCGTCATGCCTTGTTTTCGCTTTCTTTTGTTCTAGTGAAATCATAGCCTCAAATTGTTGAAAACGCTCGGTTTGGTATTGTTTATTTTGTGTTCAGGTGGGATAGAATTGCTTTTTGATACATATATACAAGGTAGGGGGTCCGAAGGAATGCCTCGTAGGGAAAATATGAAGTTTCTGACTGTCAGAAACGCTGTTTTTTTGCTTTCTGGTGGACTGTTACCATTGTATTACAGATTCTGTCACTCCAAGAAGACAGCCGAAGAAGAGTTTGTTTAAAAACAACTTAACAAAAAATATATATATTTAAAAGAACAAAGTACAATGTTGTCTTTTTAGTGGACAGCGTTCATAAGCTTCAAAAATAATTACCTAAAGCTAGGTTTGTCTGAGTAATGAATCTGATTAACTATTAATGCACATGGCGGTCATCGTATGGTCCCAAAGCCTTGATATTAAGTAATTTAGCGGCAAAGCAAATATTTTTCTTTTGACCATCTAAAAATAAGTCAGGCGAAGGGATACTTTCCCCAACCCTACACCTCACCTGACAAATACAAAGTTTGAGATAAACCACCAGTAGACTATGTCAGGGACTCATAACCCCTCCTGGTTATTGTTTCTAAATATATTTATGTCCGCTCCGTTCTAAGAATGATGTTGACGATTTGGGATGACGTCATCATTCAGTTCACGTGTGGCGGGTTCTAAAATCCTGTTGAAGTCAACTCCTGAATGTCTTTTCGGATGATCATACATAATTTTGAAATTGCATGACGCAGCTCCTCATTGAGATCTTTTACTCCTCTGAACTCCTACAGCGGGCGAGATTATTTGTCACTTTAATTTATGGTGTAACTATTCAAAAGAAACCTCTTTGAGATCGTCATTGATCGTCATTGATCGTCATTGAGTCCTCTGAACTCCTACAGCGGGCGAGATTATTTGTCACTTTAATTTATGGTGCAACCATTCAAAAGAAACCTCTTTGAGATCGTCATTGATCGTCATTGATCGTCATTGAGTCCTCTGAACTCCTACAGCGGGCGAGATTATTTATCACTTTAATTTCTGGTGTAACCATTCAAAAGAAACCTCTTTGAGATTGTCATTGATCGTCATTGATCGTCATTGGTCGTCATTGATCGTCATTGAGTCCTCTGAACTCCTACAGCGGGCGAGATTCATTGTCACTTCAATCTGTGGAGGACCGCATGGTGTAACCATTCAAAATAAACCTCTTTGGTTGAACGTCTGTACAGTACAGTCAAACCGCGTTTAACTGACGGACACATCGTAATTATTACGGTCAGTTTGCTTTGTCCCGTACATTTTCAATTCAACCCGCCAGGAGCCGATCGGCTCCTGAACCCACCTAATACGGACTCTGAGCCTGTTACAGGCTCCGAGACAGTCGGGTTCGCTGAATTGAAGAAAGCGCAAACACGAAAATAAAACGGGGGGAAACTGAAAAAAAAAAAAAAAAAACTGGAAACCTCTTCCTTTTTCCCGCCCAGCCAACTTTTTGCGTGCCTTTCTCTTTCGCTTCTTCCCCACTTCCTAAGAGCCTGGAACAGGCTAAATACGGACACACTGTTAATAGGGACACTTTCTAGGGTCCCCTCAGGGTCCGTATTAACGAGGTTTAACTGTACTGGGATTTTTACAGAAAGGAAACTTTATTTACTTTTCTCTTTAACCACTCAGGAAGGGTTGATGGTGTAAAACGGCTGAGTTCAGGTACACCGGACGGTAAAAGTGAAGACGGGAAAAATGTCTGCACGAAAAACGGAAATTTAACGCTGATCATGAGGACAAGAAATCCATTTAATCCTACGTTCTGCGGCATATTCGTTTGCGGTCGTTTGTCGCTGAAATGTCAATTTACAGCTTTAGGACCCAGCCTCTAACCGCAAGAAGCCGGAATTCAAAACTTAAGAGTGAAAGTAAAAAATTTTTTATCAAGAGCGAGCGTATTGGAGGTCGATTGTCTGGAGCTGTAAGCATGAAGTAAATCTACAGTAGGCAGAAGGGACTGAATCGCCGCGAAACTACTTTGTTACGTATCACCAGGAGCCTAAAAGGCTCCTGGTATCACCCACCCGGGATGGGTGGAGAGGGGGGGGGACTGTACACCCTATTGTGGCCTATACGGGGAGGCTCCACCAAGAAAGTGCCTTTTCATGCTTCAAGTATATGAAAGAATAGCGATTTCAGCACTTGAAGTAAACAGAAAGGGTAGGGAAATCTGTCATTTCAGTCTGTAAAAATACCCAAAAGGGTAACAGACGGCAGATAAAAGGGTTGCAAAAATAAAATAGGAGACCTTATTGTTCCGTTAAAAAATTTGCCGAAAAAGCTGTAAGCCGATTATAGCTATGAGTATGAAATAATCTATCTTTAAGTACACGATACTGGTCTCTGATGACGCAGCATAGCGAGACTAAAAAAGTTTGCAACAGCGGAAATCCGTAATCAAAGTCCAGTTCCTTATTGTTCCTGAATCTTACAACATCCTAACCTTCTCTTGCGTTATGCTTATCTCTTGTTAATGGACATCTAAATTTAAAGTACAAATTATTGTCAAAAAGACAACTGCCAGTACTGATCAAACAACGTGAAAAGACCGTACTTGCGATATTTCGCCATTTGGCCAATAGCCAGTCTTCATCTGGTTTATTAGGAAGATCACGAGTTCACAGAAATATATATCTAGTCACGGGCGGAAGTGACAAAGTATTTAAATTTAGCTAAGCGAAGCAACTTTTTTTTGGAAGATTCATGGTGTTTTTCACTGTAGAGTTAACTCAAAATCAATTGTTCAGGCTGCATTTCGCTTAAATCCTTAATAATTGAGGTGTTTAATGTGATATGCAACGTTTTAGAGTTATCCAAAAGTTAAGTTCTTTAAGCACAGGTTATCCAAAGTTTTACTGAAAAAGCTACTGAACATCCACTGTTCTCACGTTTTGTTTTAAAGGAATTTTACTTCAATAGCACTTGTAATGTAAAGTAAAAAACAGAGCGCGAAACTGGTGATTTACTCTGCAGCCGGACCTGCAAGTCGGGGTATCCCCCATCCATGCTCGACGCTACGCGTCCATGGAGAAACCCTGCTCGCAGAGTAACTCAGCAGGGGACCAAAAGATAATTTCTCCTTATAATTAAAACTTCTTGACAAAAAAGTAAAGGTTATAATTAGAATAAAAGAAACGATCAGCCCAAGACAAAGTGTTTCTTTAATTGACTTAAGCAAATTCTACTCACTAAGTAACGTACCATGAAATGTATGGAGAACAGAAATGACCTCATGGTCGATTATGGAGAGACGATTGATGAATCGCTCTCAAATCAAATTATTGAAATCGAAATGGCGTAATGAGAAACAAAGCTGGGTTGATGACATACAATAATTCCTATATTTTAGGACACCTAAAGAGCTATGATCTGGAAAAATTAAAATGGCATGGTCATGGTTGTAGTAAACAGAAGATTTTTTTAGGAAGCTGAGCACGTAAACAAGGGGAGAAAAATATAAAAGTGAGCCCCTCTTCTCTTCTTGTGTTGCGGCTCGCACAGGAAGAAGCGGATAGAAATGGGTAAATAGTTTCGGGATTGCTGCGAAGGGACTGATACTCCCTCCATGCTAAAGCTAGGGCATCCTCGGAGACCCAGGGGCAGATAGTGGGGGCGAGGGAAAGTCTAAACGTTTAGAGTTTCCCTCGCCCCCACTATCTGCCCCTGGGTCTCCGAGGATGAAGCTAGGGTTACTTAACTCATTTGAGGCTATATTTTACCCATTTTCTTTTTATGTGTAACCGATAACACCGCACTACATCATTATGTATGCCTCTTTTTCAGCAACTCGCAGTTGCCAGTATTTTGATTCCAGACTATACGTAATTGCCATAAAAAAAGTGTCTATGCTATATTAATTGCGCCATTGTTTGCCACACCTAGTTTTGTCTGTCTTGTGACTCTTCATTTGTCAGGAGCTAAAACTCAAAGTCACGCGAGATACTTAAATGCGGTGTCTCTTTACGTGTGGTCTAAAGGTCAGTGCTGAAAATAATATTTATATCACTACCAAGGAGATAGCTTTTGAGTTAGTCAGTTTTACGCTGGACCGTTGACGTTAGCCTCAGTCCTTACGTCAAGTTCTTGGGAAGTTGTTCGTAAATTTCGAGGAAGTTAGAGCTTCGTTTAGTTTAAAAGGGTGTTCAGCGCGGATAGACTGAAACATATGAAATTAACGTTCCTTGTCGCTCAAAAGAAATCTCTTGAAGAACTCAGTCGGAGAACTGCAGAGATGAGGGGAGAAATGAAACAGGCAATCCTAAAGTGCGGATATCTGCTAAAGAAAAGTGAAGTTCTTAAAAAATGGAACCTTAGATATTTTGTGCTCAGCAGAGAATGTTTGTGCTACTATCAAAACGAGGAGGAATCGAGGACGGGTGTACCAAAAGGACTTATATTCTTCAACGACATGTCAGTGTACATAGACGAGTTACCAGATAAACGGAGCAAATACTGTTTAAAGATAGTAAAAAAATCATTGTCGCCCCAAAGAGCGTCTCGGACATATTTATTCAGCTGTTTCTCGGAAAGAGAAAGAGATGGATGGCTTGCAGAGATTCTTTATGCAACAGCGGAGGCTTTAGTAATGGATCCAACTTCGTGGATTGGAAGACGGGATAGTACTCCAACTGAAAATCTGGACTTTGAGGTTTCTAGGCCTCTGGCTCGCAACGTTTGTAGTTCCTTCACTGCTAAGGAAATGCTCCAGAGATGTAGACTAAAGCTTGCGACGCTTTCGCTCAGTAGAACATCGCTATCTCATGCTCGGAGTTGCACGAGTGTCTTCGACTTCAACGCTAATAGAGTTCTTGGCGTTAACACATACTGAATTAAGAACATGGTATTAAGAGATTAAATCTCACATTAATTCCTCAAACAAAAGCCGTTTATGTCAGAAGAAATCAGCCGTTAATGTCAGAAGAAATTCCAAGAACTGAAAACTGCGTAGATAACTACTAGGTTTTCAGAGGAACGCCAGAGGAACGCGGAAAGAATTTCCAACTGTCTCCTATTTGGGAGGTCGATCGTTTACCATGAAAGTGACAAAATATGCGGGAATGTTATCGATTGCTCAATACATTAGACTAGTAAGAAGATTAAGAGGTCGCAGATTTTTAAAAGCAGAATTGTTAACGCAAGTGTGTAGATATTTAATGTATCTTTAAAAAGCATTGTTAGTTTGACAATAGTCTCCATGCCTTATTTTGTTAGAAGTGTGTATAAAAGCAGAACTGGGAACGAAGTATCCAGATATTTAATCTATTTGAATGCAAAGTTTGTTTTCAAAATAGAGTTAATGTTGTGTTAATTGTCTAAGAAAATTACTTAAAAGGGAGGGTCCAAAACAGAAAACAAGCAAACTAGAAGCTTTTGAATATTTATTGCAGATTAGTTTATTGTTTTTATCAAATCTGTATTATGTATCTTATGGTATTTCAAATAAAATATTTCTANTCGCTATCTCATGCTCGGAGTTGCACGAGTGTCTTCGACTTCAACGCTAATAGAGTTCTTGGCGTTAACACATACTGAATTAAGAACATGGTATTAAGAGATTAAATCTCACATTAATTCCTCAAACAAAAGCCGTTTATGTCAGAAGAAATCAGCCGTTAATGTCAGAAGAAATTCCAAGAACTGAAAACTGCGTAGATAACTACTAGGTTTTCAGAGGAACGCCAGAGGAACGCGGAAAGAATTTCCAACTGTCTCCTATTTGGGAGGTCGATCGTTTACCATGAAAGTGACAAAATATGCGGGAATGTTATCGATTGCTCAATACATTAGACTAGTAAGAAGATTAAGAGGTCGCAGATTTTTAAAAGCAGAATTGTTAACGCAAGTGTGTAGATATTTAATGTATCTTTAAAAAGCATTGTTAGTTTGACAATAGTCTCCATGCCTTATTTTGTTAGAAGTGTGTATAAAAGCAGAACTGGGAACGAAGTATCCAGATATTTAATCTATTTGAATGCAAAGTTTGTTTTCAAAATAGAGTTAATGTTGTGTTAATTGTCTAAGAAAATTACTTAAAAGGGAGGGTCCAAAACAGAAAACAAGCAAACTAGAAGCTTTTGAATATTTATTGCAGATTAGTTTATTGTTTTTATCAAATCTGTATTATGTATCTTATGGTATTTCAAATAAAATATTTCTAAACAGATAAAATAAATTCCAAGCAGTCTTGCTAAGGGATATAAAAGAAGATATGAACATCGCAGTTGTTATCGCAATTAAAAAATTGCAAGAATTCCAAGTTTTGCAAAGAGTGAGTGTTGGACGTGAGTGTCTTTCTGATAAATTCCTTTACAGTTTACGACGCTGCCCTGGGCTATACAATACCGGAAGCTGAAGAAACCACTGCTAGCAGGGTGTTTCCGGTGGAACTCTACTAAATAATGAAAGTCAATATGAGCGGGAATTTTTTTTTTTGGCCACCTTTTAAGGTCACACATGGACATGACATCCTGTTGGTATGTAATGCGCGTTTATTTTTGTTTTGGCCATCTTACAGTGATGTGATAAAATCGCTATGTTTCTAAGTGCGATATGGAGTAGCTTGCATAGCAAACGTTTCCGCCCAAGTTCGT